GAATTAGCTACTTTAATTTCTAGAAGGTACTTCAACTTCTCAAGTTCTTTTATCTCAAAATCTCTGGTTAGACATTGTCTTAATACTTCATATCCTTTATTTTCATTTTCTGCTATAACTATGTCGTATATACCAAGAGAGTCATGTTCTGCTAAAAAAAATGTATGATCTCCTTGACTTTGTACTCGGCCACAAATAGTACTCCGATAGATCTTCCAAACCAACCTTTGCCAATTGATTTAGACCACACAATGATTGCTTCAGATCTGCACATTTTATTCATGAGAGGTGAATAAGCACAACCCACTTAGGTAGTGTCCTAAAGAGACTGGAAGGACCTTCTATGTTTTTCTATATATCAATCTCTTGACAAGGCTAGCAAAATAGCCACTCCCATTGCCACTCTCGCTACTCCTACTTTAATTACCATCATCATCACCACCCTATCGCTGTCACAATCACCCTCATTGTCACTAACGCTGCCACCATCATTTTCATTGTTGCCATCACTGCCACAATTGCTGCTAATATCACCACCACCAGTGCTCCATTTCCATTTCCCATACTGTCACTGCCAGTAATGTACCCATTGTTTCCGCAACCACTCCTTTCGTCATCAGCATCCCCACTGCCATTACACAAGCCGCCACAACCTCCTCAACCGTTATCGCCAACCACCACCCCCTCCGTCACTATCATTATTAAGTACCGTCGCTACCACCCCTACCCTCACCCTCATTGTTAATGCGGCCATTACTATCCCCATTTTAACTGCTATCATTTGCTACCACTGCCAGCATCACCAATGATCAAAATACTCCCTCAGCCTACTTCCCAAGCAAAGAAAGTGATTCTAGGTGAAGGTTTGAAGAATGGAAAATTCTCTTCTACTTGTCTTTTATTTCATTCTTGGTGGTGCTACAATTTATAGAAAATAAAGCAACAAAAATAACAACTTCCTAACAAATCTTCCTAACAAATTTATGAAGAGAAGGAATTGCAGAAATGGTTATAACCATTCTGAGATTCTTTCCACTAGACAAAACAGAAAAGAAACTAATTTATTTTCCTATATTTTCTATACTCCCCCACAATCTAGTTTACATAAATGTTAAGTAAACCTAAATTGGATACACTATTATCAAAGGTTCCTCTTGGTAGAGCTTTTGTTAGGATGTCCGCAACCTGCTGACTTGTTAAGATATGCATAAGGGTTATAGTTCCATCTTCTAATTTTTCCTTGATAAAGTGTCGATCGATTTCTACATGTTTGGTTCAGTCATGATGAACTGGATTCTTGACCATGCTAATGGTTGATTGGTTATCACACTAAACTTTCATAGAGGTACTATTATAAACTTTCAGTTCTACAAGTATCTTTTTCAACCACACTCCTTCATATATTCCATGAGCAAGTACTTGGAATTCAGATTCAGCACTGCTACGAAATACAACAGACTACTTTTTATTGCGCCAAGTTACCAGATTGCTCTAGACATAGATACGGTATCCTAATGTACATCTTCTATCGGTTACTGATCCTGCCCAATCAGCATCAGTGAAGATTTCAATATTTTTTTTTTCTGTTTTTTGAAAGAACAATTCTTTACTTGGAGTCATTTTTAAGTACCTCAGAATTCGATATACAACTGTAATGTATTTCTCAGTTAGTTGATTCATGAATTAGCTCACTGTACTAATTGCAAAACTGATGTCAGGTCTGGTGTGTGCTAAATAGATGAGTTTGTCCACCAGTCTTTGGTACCTTTGTTTATCAACATTTTTATCACTAATGTCAAATCCAAGTTTCACGGTCGGATCCATAGGTGTGTCAGCAGGTTTACTTCCAGGCATTCCGGTTTCTTTCAGGAGATCAAGAACATATTTTCGTTGTGATACTGAAATTTTCCTTTTTGACCGGGCTACTTCCATATCAAGAAAGTATTTCATCATTCCAAGATCTTTAATTTCAAACTCTTTAACTAGGAATTATTTAAGTCTCCAAATTTCCTCAATGTGATCTCCTGTCAAAATAATATCATCTACATAGACAATCAAGATAGTTTTTTTCCTGAGGTGCAATGGTTAACAAAAAGTATATGATCTGATTGGCATTGCCCATACCCTTCTTGTTTTACTGCTTTTGTGAAACGGTCAAACCAAGTT